ACACACACACACACACACACACACACACACACACACATGAACACGAACACACACACACGCACACACAGACACAGGGTAGTTTTTTTTACTTTTTTTTTATTCCACGCGTGTCCCGCCACGTGTCCGAGCCCCCATTGCGCTTGACCCGTTGATCGGAATTCAACGGGAAGCCCCCGTTATATCGTTCAACGGGAATTCAACGGGGACACCGAGGGTGTTCAACAGGTACAACGGCGTTGTACAAAACCCGTTGCCCGTTGAATGGACACACAAGACGTAGCCACTCTCCACGCATCGGTCCGACCATGCAGCGCGTCGGCCAATCAGACACAGCAAAAAGAAGAAGGGGGCGGGAAGAAGGCGAGGGAACCAAGAAGAAAGATACAGCTACAATGGCGCCCGCCCAAACCTACAGTTACACGCAAGATTAAGGGCGCCGTCTAGTCAGAACCTTGTTCCTGCCGCAGGAGGGTGCGCGCAAGAAAGAATCGCCGCGCATCAACAATTGGAAATTCCTAAATTCCTATCTAAATCCGAAGTTGCAAAACAAAATTCTGACGAGACGAAAAATTCTCAAAAAGCAAAAAGGAAATCCAAAATTCCGAAAGCCTTCGGGGGCTCAACATTAGTTGAAAGGAAATTCAAAAAGAAAGAAAACAAAACCTGCCGCGCGATCATCGCGCCAAAATTCTCGTTCCCCCTGCTCACAGCAGAACAAGAAAGAACCAATGTCAACCGTTATTAATCGCGCCTGACGTGGCGCGCGTGTTCAGCCATCCGCCCCGGGACTTCCTGGCCCTGGCCCATCACCACCGAAAAGTAAGAAGCAAAACAAAAAAAGAAGCAAGGAGAGCGATGCAATTTTACCCGCCGATCCCACCTCCCGTAATTTGCCCAACCAACCCCGTCACAGGACCCCTCGTCGTCATCGCGCAAAAAATCGTGGGGCACAGAAAGTGGTTCGTCACATATATGACACCCAGGGGTTTCCAATCTTGAGCAAGCTCCTGCTTGCTCGATATTTCGACACGTATCGATCCCTCTAATCGATGAACGACGCGGAGCTCTCTACGTGCCATTTACCGTATGATAAGAGTGTGGAAGTCATCCAGCGTGGCATACGTGGGCTCTATCCTACAAGTTTCCGGAGAAGGGCAATCTAATCACTGATGGAGGAGGCGGTGGAGGATTTTGGGGAAGAGGGGGCATGAATCGATCGATGGTCGGGGACGCGAAGGCGGGAAGGGAGGTGTAGTGGATGGAACAATGGATGCGAGGGAAACGGGTTCAGTCTACCACAGAGTGAGTGGTAGCGTGCGGAACGACGGTGACTAGAAGGCGGGTGGCGTAGAGTTGGTGGAAGAGGTCGGGAGGGAAGGGGCACCATCGAGCGGGGAACGGGGGTCGACCAAGGAGCCGGGAAGGGACCAGGAAGTCAAGGGGACGACGAGATAACAACCGGGGACGAAGCCTGATCGCCCGCATCTTGACGTAGGCGAAGGGCAGGGTGGGGAGGGGAACCAGACGGAGCTGGTGATTCGCTCCTCCTTCGGCCGTGACGTCCTAATCCCCCCACTACGGCTCCATCGCCTCCGTCTTCCTCCCGTGGGGGCTCCGGATCGAGCCACGGATTTCCCAATAACGGGTCGGGCGGGAACCTTTCCTCAATCGACCGCTTTCCTTCCGCTCTTTCCAGCCGCTTCCGTGCTTCTGCCACCTCCTCCTCCTTGCGTCGTTCGGGCCATTGACTCGGCTCACCCGATCCACCCTCCTCTTTTGTCGGTTTTTCTTCTTCTTCTTCAACCTCCTCCTCTTCCTCGACGGAATCGGGGTCGTCACGATCCTCGCTCGATTCTTCCTCTGTCTCCTCTTCCTCTTCGATCTCCTCTTCCTCTTGCCGCGTGTTCCCTCGCCGAATGATAGGGTCCCACAGTGTGAGATCGGTGACGTCGATCTCGAGGTACAGAGCCTGGGACGGATAGATGCAGTTATCGTCGTCCAGCTCTGTACACGCGGAGTCGTGGACCATAGCAGATGCGGTTCAAGCGTCCAGGAAAGCACGTCGATGTCGGGCCGACTGTCACACCGCGATAAGATGTCCAGAGGCAGGTCGTCCACCAACTGTACCAGAAACACCAGTAACTCGCTCGTGATAAGAGCGAGATTCCCATCTTCCACCTTCCCGAAGAGTATCCCCAATAGATCCCTTTCCGTCGTCGTCCCCCAAGCTTGCACAATCAGCAGTTCCACCTCGTCGTTCGGGATTTCAGGCCCCTCTCCATACGGCGCTGGCTTGGACCAACGGAACTTTATCTCCAGCMGACAGAAAGCAAGCTCCACGTAAGCCTCCCACCACTCGTCCCACTTATCTTCGTCCAGGATCGGCACGCTGATCTGCTTGACACGATACGAGAAAGAGGGCGGGCAAGCAGATTGCCAGAGGGGAGGGATATCAGAGGGAAGGACGGAGAGAGAAAGTCGGCGGCGACTCATCGGGGCGGCGCGAAGGGACGAAGCTCCGAAAGCACAATCGGCGGCGAATCGCTGGAAGAGCGAAGCTGCAGATCGATGTCGTGAGGGGTCACGACCGTATCCCCACGTCGAGCGAAAAGCGCTGTCCACACAGCCACGATCTCTTCTCCGCAGGCTCGCAGGGTCCGAAAGATGTTTGAATGGATCGTCGACGGTACTGCTGTGATGTCCCCCGTGAAGACGGCGATGACGGAGGCATGACTAATCCTAGGAGGAGACAAGCGTTGAAATGACGAGACCTCGGCCAGGACACGTGTTGGTGCTGCCTGCGCAAACCAAAATTTTCCCGCTTCGTGGATCGCTGTTGTGCTGAAGAAGGCCACGAATCGAAGAAGATCGGCGCTGAGGCGTGGCCGCTGTACTTGTCGGATGGTACTGATCCGCCCCCTTGGAGTTAGCAGCTGCGCGCTAATCACCTGCTCCGCTGAAAAGCTCATGGCGATGGGGGCGGGGACGAAGTAGCTGAGAGAGAAGGAGAAGGAGAAAGAGAACTTGAAGGGGGCGATCTGCAGTTGTCGTCCTCCTCAGTAGCGAAAGAGGAAGCAGACGAAGGTGGGGATGAAGAGGAAGGGAGGGGGCATAGATAGGACACTTGGCGAACGATCGGGCGAGCCGATCGGCTGTCGGAGACCTCATGCACTAGTTGCATCGTGTTCACCCCGTTCGGACCGAGCTCGACTATGGGAAATTGCCTGAAGAATCGTGGCGCTAGCTTACCCTGGCGAGCACATTTCCTCGCTTGCAGTACGTCCCCTAATCTATACTGGGGCCGTGGTCCCGCGTTCCCATTTCGGGCCTCGTAGCTACAGACCCGTCGTCTGTGGGCCAGTTCGGCCATTCGTTGGAATTCTCGGGCCAATCGGGGGAGGGACCGTTCCATTAGCTCCAAGTGTCGTTTGGCCTTGTCCCGGACCGTGGCCCTTGTAGGCCGCCGACCCAGGGCAGATTCATCGTTGAGGCTCGGTATTGAGACCCATGCCAAGCTATTGGTTTGTAACTGAAAGGGGCTCAGGGCCTGTGGCCCTGTGGATTTGTGAGGCGTTCCTCGATGGACCGTCAGGATATGATCCACAATATCAGGCCAAGGCCTTGTGTCCCTAGCCGCGATATTGTGCCATAGGGTGGTCTTAATCACCCGATTCGCGTTTTTTACCAGTCCGTTCGATTGCAGCGTATGGGGTGCGGTGTTACGAATGGCAACCCCATGTATGACCAGATTCCTTAAGACTTCCCCCCTAAATTCTGCCCCGTTATCCGTTATAATTTCCTCGATTTCTTGGTGCATCCCGAAGAAACGGTTGACGTATCGCACGATTTCAGCCGCCTGTCTCGTTCGACTTGGGTACGCCTCGATCCATTTTGGAAAGTGATCTACGAATACCAATAAAATTGAATATTCGCAGCTATTCGGTTCAGCGGGCACTATTATATCGGTAGTATCCATGCTAACTCTCTGAAATGGTCGTTCGACTACCATGGGCACTATCGACCTTGGCGGTTGAATCGACGTCAAACCTAACAGTTTCGGACGATGAATTTAACATCGTCCCGAATATTGGACCAGTACCATTCGTTCTTGTCGATCGCCGTCTCGGTGATCCGGACGGCGAAGTGGGCGGCGGTATCCCCATGGGCCGACTTAACCCAGTCATACCCGATAAACGGGTGTGGTACAATCATCCAAATCCCACTACCGTCCGTCTTCTGTTTTTCCAACCGTCCCTCGTTCCATCGATAATCCCGAGCCCTCTCATTGGCCCTTCTCCGATCCTCCCTCGTGAAGTCTCGGAGGGGGTTCCGGGCTCCCTACTACGGTCGCTATCAGAGCGACATCGGTCCAAACCTCAGCCCTTCTAAACCTCTGAGTCTTTTCTAGCCCTTCTGACGTGGGATCAAGGAACCGAGCCTCGGTTTGGATTTTATCGGTCCGACACAAGGGGCACAACCAAGGCTTATTGCCACTTCGGTATTGGATACAAGAGCCATGAGCTCTCGATTCACACTGCCGACAATCCACCCATTCGACATACCCATCCCAACTAGGATGCATAGGGACCAAGTAGACCCGCGAGATTGCTTCGCAAAAATAACAAAATTTGTCAGGTAAAGAGAGAAAAGACGAAGAAGAGAGGGGAGAGGAGAGCGTTGGAGTTACCTCCGTCACCCATTGCCACATGCTTATTCTGCGGTGCTTGAGAGAACTGCCACCTGTCCGTACTGGGGCCCACTGGTCGGTTCCGGTTCCTTCCAAGTGATGATGTCTTCGCCCTTGGCAACCTTCGTCGGACGATGCAGTCGTGTCAATCCGTCCACATTTCCATGCCTCTCTGTTTTTCGATGGACGATGTCGAAATCGTACTCTTGCAGCCTCACCGCCCACCGTCCAATCATGCCCATGTAATTTGTGAGCCTCTTAAGGGCCAATAGCGGCTTGTGATCCGTAACGAGGAGGAACTTCTGCAAATACAGGTACGGATGGAAGTGCTGGATTCCCCAAACCGTCGCATAGCACTCTCCTTGCGGGGCCGAATCGTTCCTCCGTTCGTTTGGTATAGTGCGGGAGGTGTACTCGATGACGTGCTCATGTCCGTCGTTCCCCTTTTGCGCTAGGATAGCAGAGATTGTCTCGGGTTGCCAGTCAGTAATAAGGATGAACTGCTTTGCTGGGTCCGGCCGGATCAAAATAGGTGTCGTGGCCAGGGCCTCCTTGAGAGTGACAACGACCCGTTCGCACTCTGTGTCCCAGCTGAGGGGCTGGTCCTTTCGTAGCAGCTTCGTTAAACCACTAGTACATTTGGCACGTGGGAAAATAGCAGGCCTCCAGTGGGCCACCGACCTTTTCGGAGGCCGAATCGAAATGACGGTCGCCGATTACTAGTGGTTTAAGGGCCATGCGATAGCGACGAAACCCTTGATAAATCGTCGATAATACGAAGCCAGTCTGAGGAAGGCTCGAACTTGTGTCAACAACGTGGGTGTTGGAGCGTCTCTGACAGCCTCGACTTTTCTCAAATCACTCCGCAAACCTCCCCGTGTCACCACGTAGCCCAAAAAGGAGATCTCCGGGAAAAAGAACTCACTTTTCTCCAGTGCGATCTTGAATCCGGTGTCCCTCAAAGCTCCCAGCGTCCACTCGATGTGCTGCGCGTGCCCGTGGTAGGATTTCGAATAGACAAGGATGTCGTCCGTTTACACAATGATGTAGAAATTGATTATCCCTTGTGTCGGTCGAGTCTTGTTGACGAAATTTTGAAACGTCACATTCATCACCTGCTGGAACGTGGCCGGCACGTTGCAAATCCCAATCGAGCATCGAACTCACTGCCACTTGCCTTCAAACAGAACAAAGGTTGTCTTAGGCCGATCCTCTTCCTTGACCGGAATATGATGAAACCCGTGACGAATATCGAGCTTACTGAAGTAATTAGCACACCCAATCGCATCCAACAAATCATCAATCCAAGGGAGGGGTTATACATCTTTAATCGTGATATCATTCAACTTGCGATAATCGATGTAAATGCGGACTGATCCATTTTTTTTTGGTGTCGGGACTACTGAGAACGACCATGGCCCCGTAGCTGGCTCAATCCATCCGTTGGCTTCGAACTCTCTAATCCTCTGTAGGGCCGTTTCACGCTCAGCGAGGGAATATCGATATGGTTTGCAGTGGATTCGAGGGTGATTCCCGGTCTGAACATCGTGTTGGATAATTAGTGACAACCAGGGTTGTCACCCGGGGACCCCCGGGGCCAACGCCGGGGTCGGGATTTCACCCCCGGACCCCCTCCCGCGGGGGTGCCTACCCCCGTACCCCGAGATTGACCCCCGCGCCCGCCCGACCCCCGACACCCCCGCGAGACCCCGGCCCCGACACCCAGC